ATACCCATTTTGATAGTATGTGCTCGGGGTATATAACTTCAGTAATATTATATAAGAAAAATGGGAGTTATATACCCATTTTGATAGTATGTGCTCGGGGTATATAACTTCAGTAATATTATATAAGAAAAATGGGAGTTATATACCCATTTTGATAGTATGTGCTCGGGGTATATAACTTCAGTAATATTATATAAGAAAAATGGGAGTTATATACCCATTTTGATAGTATGTGCTCGGGGTATATAACTTCAGTAATATTATATAAGAAAAATGGGAGTTATATACCCATTTTGATAGTATGTGCTCGGGGTATATAACTTCAGTAATATTATATAAGAAAAATGGGAGTTATATACCCGTTTCGATATATGTTTTCGGGGTAGGTGATCTGGTGTAGTAATCTGCGGTAATATATATAAGAAAAATGGCAGAACACTACACTTTTTTTGGGGTAGGTATCTACCCACTTTAATGGTATGTCTTCGAGTGTATAAGTTCAGTAATATTATATAAGAAAAAACGAAGTTATATACCCATCTGATGATATGTTTTCGGGGTAGCTAACTTCGGTAATATTATATAAGAAAAAATGAAGAAGGCTACCCATTTGACAACATATTTCTGGGTATATATTCCGGGTATATTTAGTCGAAGTTTACTATTTTTTACTACCCATTTCTATGGTATGTTCTCGGATATATTTCTGGTGTCAAAAATTCCGGTAATCGAAATCGGCATACATGTTGGTAGCATTAATCGATAGCATAACCGGATAGCGTGTATATAGCATAGCCCGGTAGCATAACCTACCTCGGCTATTTTTTTGCAATGGAAAACGGTCAAGATCGCTAAGTTAACATGTGATATCAAATGACGTATGAAATATGTTTGACGAGGCAAATGCAAATCACACGTCATCCGATAAGTAGACTATAAATGTCTCATCTTTGACGAGGCAAATGCAAATCACACATCATCCGATAAGTAGACTATAAACGTCTCATCTTTGACGAGGCAAACGCAAAACGTTTGTCACTCGAATGACAAGGCAAACGCGAAACTCACATCACACCTGAGTCTATTATAGTCTAATTTAAGCCGTTTTGAGTTTATATAAACTCAAAACGGCTAAAGCACTTAGAATAAATATTTAACAAATAGTTTTAAACGAACTTTACTTTATTCCCTATTGCATTTAACATATTTATCTCAAATGATTCTCTGGATATTTCTCAGTGCAGCAAGTGCAATTGATCTTGACGTTTTACCACTAAAGTTCAAAGAGAAAAAAAAAAAACTTAAAATTTAAACTCCTGGCACTTAAATTTCTTTAAATTTATGTAAAGGCTTACTTTGAACAAATTA